ATGAAGCGGGGCACCTCGTGCAACCACGTAATAAGTCCATGGTTAGCTAAGTCCTGCGGCTAAATCATGTGGCGATAGGGTACTTAATTAAGTTTAGTTTAAAGTGCTTGTTGAGATTTTATAGAAACAGTGATGAGAAAGAGCAATATAATTATTACTTTAATTTACTTGCAATGTTGATGCTGTGGCTACTACACAGCGTATTGTATCTTCGATTTTCGCTTAGGCAGAGTCTGTGATCCCAATATTGTTATAGAATAGAACAGATTTTATGTGGAAACTGGAGTAAGTATACAGGAAAATATTTACAAGGTCTTGTTTTGCCATTCATAATGAACAAAATGTATATATTTTTTTAAATTTTCTAAGACAGACTAAAATAGCCGTTTCAGTTTTGAACGTTAAATTCAAAACTGAAACGGCATAATTTATTTATTTCACTATACACTAAAAAGTATTGTTTGTTTTGGACTGTTATTAGCCTAGTAACTAAACTATCTACTAACGCTCCATATAGTGATACTAAATAGAATATACCACTACTATCCAAAAAGCCGTTACCTCATAAATATTTATCTTTCATTACCGAACCGGAATTCCATCAAGTAAATACTTTTTCCCACGGCATGAGTGGTCGCGTATCCATACGTAATTGTATCTATGTGCCTGTATGTATATGATTCCTGTCTGATGGCTCGGAGTATGTAGTCAACAGAGACTGTACTTCGATTTAACACGATCTTGTAGAAGTTGCGAACAGATGTTTTGTGGTAGTGAAGATAAAAATGTCATTTAGGCTGCAAATAGATTTTAATGCTGCTAATTCACTTCACATTAGCCGATGTTAGCAAAGAAATAAATTTTAACAGTTTAATGTCAGCCGTCAAAGGCTAGACTAAAAGGGTTTGGATAAAACTACAATCCGTTAATGTCTTTAAGTAACTATATGACGCACAATTGTGATATTGCTTTTTTTGCTTCAGATTTCTTAAATATTACCAAAAACTTATGTGATGTAGCTTGAATATAGATAAAGGCATATATAAGCATGGTCTCCATTCACTACCTACTCCAATACCTCACGTAAAACAGCGGTAACTCGCACTCGCTCTAAAAGCTACCCGCTCAAACATGTGCATGTTTGTATTTGGTAATGGCCCCGCAATTGAAATACAATTTACACTTTAATTTTGATCACTCTTCACTCTTAGTTCTCGTTTTATTTGCGAATATACGATGATTTGTTTATCTGTGTCACTAGTGATTTAAACGCGTTTAGGAACGTTTTATAGGTAAGAATGTTTTAAAAGACTTAAAAAAAAATCATACAATTTTACTGAATAACATTAGAACTAGATGCTACCTAATATATTTTTATAATAACTATCGTGAGACATACTAAATTAAGTAAAAACGCGGGTTACTCACGTCACGAAAAGAGTGAACTACGCGACGTCGCCGCGACCACGCAAGAACCCCTCTGTGGTTCGAAACTAGTAGAGCTTTTCTCAGTATATTCACGTGAGTAACCCGCGTTTTTACTTAAGCTACCTAATATACCCTGTAGACTCTATTTCTAAGACCAAATGAAAATTGAAGTACATAACAAAAACTAACCACAAACCCCAAACATTAACGGAAACATTTTTGCTGTATTAGCAGATCAAAATATTTCCAACTCAAAACTGGAGACAAAGTATAAATCAAAAAATCTAATAACACAGACATGCAAAGACAAACCCCAAAGGATTGCACTCAGCTGTCGCATTTGGAATAACTAAACGAATAGACGGTCCTCAAGGCTCTCCATTTGAACACTTACTCACAGAAAATTTTGTCCATTCTTCCTCTAGTCTAAAAGGGTTGACATACGATATATTTTTCGTAAAAATTCTTGAACAAGATAGATTGTTTGCTTACCTAACACACTACTCAGAGTAACTAGGAAATCCACGGAACTTATTTACTCGCGCAAATAGGTTCTGTGTAAGACGTGCGATCCTTCGAGCAATGAATCCCGCGAACTCATTGCTATGCGGCATACAGATTGGGAAGAAAACCCAACTATATATTACTTTTATCCCGTAGAAAATTGGGATTTAAAAAATGTGGCAATCTAGTGCGGGATGGAGATAGAACAGAATGATATACTTGAGAATGATATATTATTTTATTTTGAGATACAAGTAATAATAATATTACGTTACGTAACTAAAGTAGACAATGGGATAAAACCACTCATTGTCCTTTATTTCTTTTGTTAAGTCTTAGTAATTAGTTATAGAACAAACACTAAAGAGATTAATTAACATCTACTTCTAAGTATCCGTATTTTTTTAAAACTAAACTATTTCAAATAATTCTTTGCAATCTTTTTTCTTCTATCGTCTTTATAAGCTTTGGAATGTATTGGATAAAATTAATAATTAATAGATTGTTATCGGTGCGAAACGGGAGGTATCAATTAATATTATTATAAAGAAAATATTGAGATTCTTCTTTTCATTATAAACATCAACCTTATTGTGGTTACAATAGAGACTACATATTTTTCAGTGCACGTTTAATCCGATAAAAATACTTCACATAATGAAGCCTTTTATTCCCTGAAGAGATTGTCGGAGGTTAATCCACTTCTTCATTAATTATAATAATATCATGAATTCCACTAATAACAGCAGGGATATCAAAAATAATAATTATATGACTAAAATTTCATAACGAAAGCTGTAATAATTGAAGCCCCACGTAATAAACGCAACATTAAGCCGGTGTATTGTATATGCTCATCGTCAACTAACAGATATACTCTGTACTATTTTATACTACACTATTTTCAAAATAAATTATTTGTTGCAAAACTAGACAAACAAACTAGCCAACATCTCTTCATTACCCTTTAAAATCAGTAACTAACATAAAATTTTCAAGAAATCTTCAAACACTACAAACATGTGACAGAACTAGTGTTTCTTTAAAATCTTCGCAACAAAACTCAATCACACACGCAATCCTATAAATCGTAAGTATCAGTCCGCTACCGTATCGGATACGAGATAAGTCGGACGTGTCGAACGGTCGCCGGACACGTGCCGGACACATGTGGCTGCTCGGAATATGAATGTACAGCTTTGTGAATCACTGGATTAGCTTTTCTATTATCTGTGGTTCGTGAGTGAGGGTAAGCAACGTGTGTGTGTCTCAAGATGGCGGACGGTGAAGTTTGTATTGCGATATGAGTATAATTTTTATTCGAAGTAATATTATACATTTGAAAGTTTGTGATTTTTATGTTTGAAAATAATTGTAGTTAAGGAGGATGGAAAATAATACAGAAGACGTTATTTTTCTTTAATTATACAAGATAAACCATTGGTAACAACAGCTAGTATAGCATAAAGTCCGAATAAGTGTGGGAGAGCCATGCTTCAGAAGGAATGAACTCGACCGGAGTGATACCACGCCCTCACAGAAAACTGACTACCCCCTACCCCGCTCCTTTCCCAATCCCTAATCCCTAATAATCCTCAAATCCCTAATCCCAAAAGGCCGGTAATGAACTTGTAACGCCTCCGGTGTTCCAGGTGTCCATAGCTGACGCCGGTTGCTTACCATCAGGTGATCTATCTGCTCGTCTACCGGTTTATCCCATAAAAGTAAGAAGTCCTGTAGAATTGTCACTTGTCAGTCCATAAATTAAATCTACGACCTTATGAAGCCTTTGTCATCCAAAATCGAGGCCGATCTAAATACAGAACTGTGATAAAATTATGAAGCCAATAAAAGTCAACCCTAAAAAGGCTCCTAGTTTCCTTGAAATATTTCTTGACGTTCCATCTTTATTTTCTACCCCCGCATTAAGCTAGCGGTTCATAATACACCCCAAAACAAAATGGTACAGCGATACCCTTTTGTTTTTTTATTAAACATTTTTATAATGACGTTTTGTAAGGGTTGATTATCGTCGTGTTTTTTTTTTCAACCATTAAGTTGCCTAATCCAATTAAAAAGTTGAGTCAGATTTAATCGTCTCGTTTTAGAGGAAACGGTTTAATTTGTGGGAGCATTATTACGTCATTGATTTTTATGTCTTAACAGACTCTGAAAAGCCATTTTAATTATTTGTTTCTTTCGTCATGGCAACGGTATGTGGTATAACTTATTGGCATTCGGGTTTTCAATTAAATTACTAAATTGTGCATTATTTTCAGATTATTTCTGATAATACTATTGTATTTTCAATTTAAAATAGTAGCCGTTTACTTTGGTGAGTACCCTTCATGAATCCATTTAATTTAAAACTAAATTAACGTGGGATGTTATTGAAAAAAGTTTTAACATCAAACAATATATTTAACCAAGACCTTTTAACACGTATTGTCTACATGGAGGAACTGAAATAAATCAATATAAGATAGCAGAATAACAAAGTTGTTCTAATATTAAAAACTTCATATGAATTCAATTACAACTACCAAAAAAGTATTATTCAATCAACATATAAAATAATATTAAACGAAAAAGTCGATTGAGGTACAAACATTTTTATAAAAAATTTAAAATCGTTTTGATGATATAGTAGGTGCAGGGATCTAGTATTGTTGTCAATCATATATAAATAAAACCCGAAACTACAACTATTCTGTTCTGTTCTGTTCTGTTCAATTCTGAACAAGATCGATTTGCGAATTAATCAAACAAAGTATTAATCCCTTAAAAATGTAAAACACACATAAAGCCAATACTAATACACATACTATAAAATATAACTGACAATACTCACAGGAGTTACAGATAAAACAAACAGCAACAAATAAATAGCAAACTAAGTACATTTCATTTCCTATAACCCTTGACTATGAAGTCCCATCAGCAAACCATTAAATAGTGACAAAAACAGAACATCACCCCTCTAGCATTTATCTTCTACGTAGAGTTATAAAAGAGGATAAATAAAGCAAAACCTATAAGGCTTTAAAGCAACAATGAAAAATACGAACCGTTTTACGTCGGGCGGTGGGTCGGTGGGGCGCATGGGGGTCGCGGGGGCCCCGGGCTCGGTGGCCGCGCTCGAACAATGGGGGCCCGGGTAGACCACGGCTGCACAAATAAAAAAAACACATGAACAACCGCTCCAATTATTGACGTGGGCATGAGATGAGAATTCCATAGCTACACGTTTCCGGCTCTAACTTTTGCGTGTTGCGCTTATTGTATGGTTCGCGGAAGTCGCTGAGACTAGCGACTGTTTGAGAACTGTTGTTCATAACAAGTACCTACAATAGTTGGTTTGTGTTTTTTCTTTAAAGCAAAAAGATACGTCAACCTTTAATGTAGGTAGTTTAGGTAATAATAATATACGTGACTAATAAAAAGTTGTTTGACTCATGGTCGTTTTCACCAATCACCCCTAAACTACCACTTAACTAAAATTCACGTAGCGGGACGTAACACCTAAAATAACGCCTTACTTGTACTTTTAGGTAATGCTAATATGTTGATGAAAACAAAAATGACGTTATGTGTCATCTATCTTAACTAAGGAGATTCTTAAAATTAGGAGACAGGTAAAAGCATCTGGCAGGCATCTGGGTATCAAAGTCTTTAGGATTCGGCACCACGTCTATCAAAAATTTCAGGCGTCTTAAAGACAACATAGATTCACATGAATACAACACAATTGACTACACTCATTAAATATAGAAAAAACAACACAGTAAAGGTTGACATATCCATGTCAATAAAACCCCTTACTAAATAAAGAAAGAAAACAGAAACAGAAAAAAATATATGAACATACACAAAAAACTCATCATTTACATCGCTTCAACGATTGAATAGCAATTAATTTATGCCGACGCGGATTAAGCGTAAAATAATGGCGTCAGTTAAAATTTACGGTATTTAATTGTATGGGGAACGGCAACATTTCATTAAACCGTTGGCCGCTGATAGTGCCAAATAGTGTGTGGGGGGGGGGGGTAAAACACAAGCCCCATTAGCCATGGGATGCATGCCAACATAAACAAGTGGAAAATAACTCATGACTGTTTTTTTTTTGGGGAACTTGACAAAAGGTCGAGGCTAAGTATGACCGTGCCAAACAAATCGCCCTTGAATCTGCAATTATAAACTTTAACGCCTTTAACCTTCATATAACACACTTAATATAATATCATGCCTTTTATCCCCGAAGAGGTAAACAGAGGTGTGCATTATGCCACTGTACAATGTAACACCCACTTTTCACTATTTATGTTATGAGTCCCATGTAATAGGTAAGCGTATTGCCATATACCGGGCACAATTCCAAAGACCATACGACTGTTTTATTTTTGAAAAACCCAATATTAATTTGCCCGACCCGGGAATCGAACCCGAGACCCCTTGCCCTTGCACTCGGCAAATGAGGCAGCCACCTTCATATAAATATCCGATAAACTTATGTGACAGATAGTTCAGACAAATTACGTTCTGAATTCAAAATCTGGTATCCATAATGAAACAGGCTCTTACAGGCATACTTCCTTTTTACTACTACAAACTAAACTGTACTATAGTAAGGTACGTAAGGTACGGAACCTCGCATTACGAATTTGATTCACGCTCCACCGAGTTTTTAAGCTCACTCATCCCTAACGAATCTTGAATGAAAGCCTAGTATAAAGTTACTACGCTACAGTACGCTTACCCTCGTAGCAAACCGTTTATCTGCTACGAGAGCGTAGCCGGTGCTACACTGACTGCTACGGCGTAGCAACTGTTTGTACCATACTATGCATGCCAAACTTTGCTTGATATATGTATTCATGTATGTACTTAACACATGTTTACTAATGTAAGTGGAATTTATGCAAATAATGTATTTAGTTTATGATTTGGGTCAAGAAATATCGATCATTGGAATGAATTTGTATGTTACCTGTTCAATAGACATAAAAAACATAACATCACGCTTTTTATCCCCAAAATGGTAGGCACATTACGGCACTTAATGCTTGTATAATGTAACACTCACTTTTCACTATTTATGTTATGAGTCCCATGTAATAGGGGGGAGCGTATTGCCATGTACCGGACATGGTTCCGGACTCCGTGCTACTACTGAGATTTTTTTAATCTCAATAAAATTTTGCCCCACCTGAAGTCGCTGAGACTAGCGACTGTTTGAGAACTGTTGTTCATAACAAGTACCTACAATAGTTGGTTTGTGTTTTTTCTTTAAAGCAAAAAGATACGTCAACCTTTAATGTAGGTAGTTTAGGTAATAATAATATACGTGACTAATAAAAAGTTGTTTGACTCATGGTCGTTTTCACCAATCACCCCTAAACTACCACTTAACTAAAATTCACGTAGCGGGACGTAACACCTAAAATAACGCCTTACTTGTACTTTTAGGTAATGCTAATATGTTGATGAAAACAAAAATGACGTTATGTGTCATCTATCTTAACTAAGGAGATTCTTAAAATTAGGAGACAGGTAAAAGCATCTGGCAGGCATCTGGGTATCAAAGTCTTTAGGATTCGGCACCACGTCTATCAAAAATTTCAGGCGTCTTAAAGACAACATAGATTCACATGAATACAACACAATTGACTACACTCATTAAATATAGAAAAAACAACACAGTAAAGGTTGACATATCCATGTCAATAAAACCCCTTACTAAATAAAGAAAGAAAACAGAAACAGAAAAAATAATATATGAACATACACAAAAAACTCATCATTTACATCGCTTCAACGATTGAATAGCAATTAATTTATGCCGACGCGGATTAAGCGTAAAATAATGGCGTCAGTTAAAATTTACGGTATTTAATTGTATGGGGAACGGCAACATTTCATTAAACCGTTGGCCGCTGATAGTGCCAAATAGTGTGTGGGGGGGGGGGGTAAAACACAAGCCCCATTAGCCATGGGATGCATGCCAACATAAACAAGTGGAAAATAACTCATGACTGTTTTTTTTTTGGGGAACTTGACAAAAGGTCGAGGCTAAGTATGACCGTGCCAAACAAATCGCCCTTGAATCTGCAATTATAAACTTTAACGCCTTTAACCTTCATATAACACACTTAATATAATATCATGCCTTTTATCCCCGAAGAGGTAAACAGAGGTGTGCATTATGCCACTGTACAATGTAACACCCACTTTTCACTATTTATGTTATGAGTCCCATGTAATAGGTAAGCGTATTGCCATATACCGGGCACAATTCCAAAGACCATACGACTGTTTTATTTTTGAAAAACCCAATATTAATTTGCCCGACCCGGGAATCGAACCCGAGACCCCTTGCCCTTGCACTCGGCAAATGAGGCAGCCACCTTCATATAAATATCCGATAAACTTATGTGACAGATAGTTCAGACAAATTACGTTCTGAATTCAAAATCTGGTATCCATAATGAAACAGGCTCTTACAGGCATACTTCCTTTTTACTACTACAAACTAAACTGTACTATAGTAAGGTACGTAAGGTACGGAACCTCGCATTACGAATTTGATTCACGCTCCACCGAGTTTTTAAGCTCACTCATCCCTAACGAATCTTGAATGAAAGCCTAGTATAAAGTTACTACGCTACAGTACGCTTACCCTCGTAGCAAACCGTTTATCTGCTACGAGAGCGTAGCCGGTGCTACACTGACTGCTACGGCGTAGCAACTGTTTGTAACATACTATGCATGCCAAACTTTGCTTGATATATGTATTCATGTATGTACTTAACACATGTTTACTAATGTAAGTGGAATTTATGCAAATAATGTATTTAGTTTATGATTTGGGTCAAGAAATATCGATCATTGGAATGAATTTGTATGTTACCTGTTCAATAGACATAAAAAACATAACATCACGCTTTTTATCCCCAAAATGGTAGGCACATTACGGCACTTAATGCTTGTATAATGTAACACTCACTTTTCACTATTTATGTTATGAGTCCCATGTAATAGGGGGGAGCGTATTGCCATGTACCGGACATGGTTCCGGACTCCGTGCTACTACTGAGATTTTTTTAATCTCAATAAAATTTTGCCCCACCTGGGGAATTGAACCCGAGACCCCTTGCCTGGCAGTCGCCCGTGCCTCAGCCAACGAAGCTGTTCAGTAGACGAAATACTGAAAAGCTCTATATTTTATAGGTTTCTGTACTGAATAATATTCTTCATTGCCCAAAAACGGGTGAATATTTTCAGATACACGAAATCTAGTTGACGCTTATTCAGCGAGAATCGTCTATAATAGATCATAATACAAGGAAGGAACCTTGGGAATCAATATCCACCAGAAATGCAAAGACTCGGCACGATATTACTTATGAATTATTCCCATAAAATATTGTCTGTAGTTTCTGCTGTCATCTGAGATTTAATAAAGGGTGTCTCATGTTATGTCAAGTACATAATGTGATAAGATTTATAGGAAACAAAGCTAGCAGTACGTTTTTTACATTAGACAGGCGGGAGCAGTAATTCGATGATTTCCCCCCTTAAAAAAAAACACTACGTTTTTTAAGTTGGGAATATTATCCAATGACTTCTGCCGCCTCGTTTGAGGTGGGATGTGCATTGTTTAATACTAAACTGTTCAAATTTTACTAACATATTAAACTGTCAAACACCGCGAGGACACCGGTGACCGCAACCTATTGTTCTTTAATTGTGTCTATAATGACGGTACTCAAAGAGTTAAATTTACTAGAGCTAGTTCCGGAAAATAAACGTCTAATACATAAAATATAACATAATACAACATCACGCTTTTTGTTCCCGAAGGGGTAGGTGAAGGTGCACTTTACGGCACTTAATGCCACTGTACAATGTAACACCAACTTTTCTATTTATGTTATGAGTCCCATGTAATAGGGGGTGAGCTTATTGTCATATATCGGGCACAATTCCAGACTACGTACGACTATTGAGATTTTTTTTAAAAACCCAGTAAAACTTTGCCCGACATACAATGGAACCCGAGACCCCTTGCTCGGCAGTCGCACTTGCGACCACTTGGTCAACGAGGCAGACATAAAATATACTACAGATTTTTTTTAATTTTCAAGAGACCAATCCAGTACTTTTTA